ATGAACTTGACAAGTGTGTGTGTGTGTGTGTGTCTGCCTCACCTTCTAGAACAGCGGTTCTCACCTTCCTGATGCCCACGTTCCTCGTGTGGTGGTGACCCCCTAACCATAAAATTATTTCCATTGCTACTTCATCACTGTCATTTTGCTACTGCTACGAATCAGGTGACCCCCGTGAAAGGGGCTGCTCCCGGGAAGGCGACAGCCTTGGGAGGGACAGGGGCGGGACGTGGGTGCCCCTCTGTGCTGCAGGGCAGCGTGAGTTGGAAGGGACCCCACAGTGGTGGCTTTGGGCTTTTCTCATGCACTATAGACACGCTGTCAGAGGCAACCAGCCCCTCCCTGGGGAAGGGTGTAATGCTTGGTGAAGTGGGGGGGTTAGTGAAGGCCAGGAAGGCCCTCCAGGAGATGGACTGACACCCCAGGGCTGCAATAATGCGCCCCAGCGTGGGGACTGTCATGAGGGGGCCCAGGTCTGTTGGCCATCAGGTCACTGGGGTGACAGGGCGCGATAGCACCTAACCACAGCAGGACACCCTCCGTGCCCATGACAAGGGTACACGTGTGCTTCCACACCGGGTCTCCGTGTTACCTGCCCCTCATCAGGCCCCCCTCCCACCCCCATGGGCTGCCACTGAGTGGTGGCTCGAATCCGGGGTGCATCCGGGAACGCTGGTTTCAGCATTTCTCACCTGCCACCCCACGGACTGCACTCCATCAGCGGGGCCCAGAGCTCAGGCAGCTGAGCTTGTGGTTAACAGCCTAACATGTGGCCCAGTGGTCCATGTGGTCCAGGGCTGCCCCGTCGCACATGGGGGCCAGGACGCAGAATGGACCGAGGGACACGGAGGACAGTAGCAGCCATTCTCTACCGCTCTGCACCCACCTGGTAGCTCAGCTCTCACCCCACATGCTGGGCACACCCCGGGCAGTTCTTGTCACCGAGCCCTCTGCTCCTGTCTCACCAAGGTCCCTGTGCCAGCAGGCCTTATCTCTGTGGATATTGGTCTTTGTCGCCCAGCAGGGCGTGGAGCTGGGTGAGCTCTTTGACACCTGGGTGCTGGCGAGGTGCTGCTGTCATAAGCAGCTGCCCAGGTCAGCTGCACACACCTGCCAGCCCTGAGGCCCCGGGGAGCCCCAGGAGCCAGGCTTCTGGCCAAAGGGTACAGGTGCTGGAAACCACCCCAGTTAGAGGCAGGGGCCCGGCCCCGGGCAGCCCTGGCTGTAAGTGTGGCTGGGTTATCTCTCTGGGAGGTGGCCCAGCTTCTCAGAGCCTGAGGGCCCTCCTTGCCCTAGGCCAAGGTCAAGGGTGAGGGGACGAGTCTGGTCTTGCACAGCCCTTTCTCTTTGAGTTGCCAGTCTTTTTGAAGGGGGTTCGTTAGTCCGCGTGGACCAGAGAAACAAATCCAGGGGGACTCATCTGTGTATAGGAAAGCACTTTATAGACAAGAGCAATTGGATATTGAGAAAACATTCCAGCCCAGTCCAGATCATTCCAATATTAGCCCTATGTCCAATACCAATCTATAAATTCCTCTTCAGACTCACACGCAGCACATGCAATGACACCGAATGCAGGAAGGTCACAGGCCAGTGGGTGGGAAGTCTTGTGGCTCCAGCAGCAGTGGAAGCATCTCAGTGCTGGCAGGGGTCTCCACGTGGCTCCTCCAGCTCCGGGACGCTAGCGTAGCTCCTTGCGTCTTGTCAGCAGGAAGATGAAGCAGAGCCTGCGTGCACCTGGCCTCCAGCGAACTATTTATCTCCATAGCACTTCCACGTGAGGCGCTACCTCATCCAGCTGCGACCTGATTGGCAGGCTGGACTCCACTCCTTCACAAGTTGACAGGAGATGGCGTCACTGGCTGTGAGCTGAGAGGAGGAGCCTGATGCAGGGGCCAGAGGTGGCCGTCTGCTTCTGTAAGGACAGCCTCAGGCACCCAGCTGAAGTCCACAGTGCTGGGCAGGAGTAGAGCACGGGTCAGAAGGGACCCAGCTGGACAACACCACCCTATAGGCACCTATGTGGTTGTGATGGTCAGCACCCTGGCACTAGCTCAGCCCCTGCCCGCTCCACTCTCACAGGCCCTGCAGCCTCCTGCTCCAGGGTCAGGACAGGGACCAGGGCTCAGAGGCTGGTGGAGCCTCAGGGGAGGGGTCCAGGGAGCCATGGGCATGGCGGTGGCGGTGTTAGGAGAAGACTGGGGGAGTATGTACAAAGCGTGTGGCTGGCGCATCTCTCGTTGCTGCCCCTCCCTCGGGGTTTTCCGGGCTGTCACCTTTCAGAAGCAGGCTGGCAGGCCTTTCTTCTGAGCTACCCGTGACTGGGTATGAACCGCCAGCCTCTGCGTCAATAGCCACACCCTCGACTGTCCCCACCTCCAAGAGAATCCTGGCTAGAATAATGGCATCAGTTAATGATTATGGATCGATGTGAGGTCACCAATCGGCACTCTGAGGGCGGCGGAGGAGGCCGTCTGCTTCTGTGAAGATTTCCAGCCCGACACCGTGTGGGACACCGTGTGGGCAGTTACAGTCCATCCTGCAGCGTCTCTCAGAGTCGGGGGACACCCAGCAGTGGCTTGGTTGTAGACCACTGGAGTAAAGCAGGCACGCACATGGGCTGGGCTCGGAAGCGGGGGACAGGAGCCCAACAAAGAGGAAGACCCTCACTGAGTCCGGTGGGCACGGGGGCTGCAACGTAACGGGGACTGGAGGCCGGCGCAGGTCAGGAACCAGTTCCTCTGTGGTACGGGGGATCGCGGTGAATTAGACCCCGCTCGATGGCTCCTGAGGGGAACAGTAGGCTAGGGGGTGGGGCGGGGGGAGACCCCCATGGTGGAACGTCCTTCCAGCACAGGGAGGTTGGGGTGGTGGGCGTGACTTGTCCCCTGTGACGCCGCCGATCTGTTGCTCCGTATCTGTGTGGAAGGACAGGCCGTGTGGGTCC